CCAACAAGTCAATACATTTTACGTAGTGACAGTTTAACGATGTATTGACGTAATTGTTGAGTATGTAATTCACTTTCGGAATGAATATTGATTTATTACTGATCACTGGAATAGAACTACAACCGAATTTATGGATTCATTAAAAATACTTTTTTAATTCTGAAAAGTATAAAGGTTAGTAAAATGCTCAGAATTGAGAAATTATTGCCATATCTGAAGTTCGTGTGTGCTGCTGATGTCGACAGATATATGAGTATGTACACCAGTTGAAAGTGGAATGCCTGGAGAGAGAAGGTTGAGAAGATCAAGGGGAAGAGAATGAAAGAAAAGTGATTGGTATTGAAATAAAGAACCAATAAAGTCTGAGACAGTTGTTAGACATTTTGCAAATGAAATATTTACTGCATGGTCCACCGATTATACTAAGAGATTTCGTAATTTTGTATCCAAGTATATTTGGTCCCCTCCATTTGTTTTCGGTCATCACATTGGGCAAAGTGACGAAAAATAATGCTACACTGGATTCTTTTGTATATAACTTGAAGTATCTTTGCTCAAGGTTTGTTTTTGTTTTATAGAATCCAATAAATGAATGTTAAAATGAAGAAAACTTCACTGAGTATTCTGTCATGGTAATATTATTTCTTCAATTTATTGGAAATTGATATCTGAGAAATTCAGCAGATCTACACGTCATGTACGAACCAATTAGATTAAAGAGAGTGCCTCTTGGGTTTTTATCGCACGAAACTCATTCACATTACTAAAAAGCACTCTTACATTAGATTTGATATCAGAAGCTTAACCCTAAATGTTAGGCGTAATTCTTCATGCCTAATAGGTAGTTGAAGTTATACTCTAATACATGTTATACAAAAAGACCTTACAAGATGTAATACCCAGGATAATCAATCATAACAGTCTGCAATTGTCTTGCCGTGAATAATTCTACACATACGGTTTTAATCAGAAGGGAGCTTTGTTGAGATTTTAGTAGTTTAATGGTTAAACTCATGAGTCAATTAAAGCTAGACCACCATAGAAAACCTGGTGGCACTGGATGGCCGTTTCGTCCTAGTATGGGAATCCTCAGTAGTGCGATTCACGATCCCGTGGGATCGGTTTTATTTTGAAAATCATGTTATACTAGGTAATTATCATTATACTATATTTGAAAAATCGATAGCAGGAACTTTAATGTTTTAACTTGTTTGAACTGGTTAAATTATAGTAGATTGTATTTAGTTTATATATTGTACAATGAAGTGTTATTAAATAAACAGTAACTGTGATCAGATATCACCTTGTCTAGTCTACAGTATTTTATTCGTTAAGCTCATTATGAAGTAGTGAGACAGGATTCCAAGGGCGACATTTTATGCACGTTACATTTTTGCTGACACCAATCACCAAAGCTATCACAAATCGACCAACATTTTATTCTGCTCAACATAACTTGGATACCAAATACTAGTTTGTGGAATAAGACTTGGTGTACACTTTCAGCATGCTAGCAAATAATTACTCAAACGAAGTAGTCTTACCCTAAATCATAAGTGCATCTCAGTTTACTAACTACTAAGCCACTATCTCTTGGATCAGTGTTGTGATAGATCAAACTAGAACGGTCTTGACTCTGGAAGATTTTTAATCATTACGGACATTCTAGTGAATATACATATTTTTATTGTGTAGATAATACGTATGTGGTTTACGGTATTTCAATGCAGCCTTAATTGTAAGCTAACTAACCGTCGGTACATAAGTTACATCTAATTATTACATACTTATTAATCACTTTGTACCGAGAAGGGCATTGTTATGAACAGGATAGGGACACATTGTAGTTTAGTAGGTTAACATTTTTAAAATTTTTTTTCGAGTGATACGCATTACCATGTTTTTCAGTCATAATAATAAAACAAGTTGGTATGTTTTTCCAATGCTCTTATTGGGGATAGAAAAATTTGAGCGGACCAATCGTGAGGTGTGTCGATAAACGAACTCATCAATGGTAAAGTGAAACGTCCACCACCACATTAACTTCGTTGACTATGTCTTGTTTATTCACCAATCACAATTTGTTTCACTTGAATCTTCCCATTGATGCAATCGATCAGTCTCTCATATTGGCATATGTGCGTATTGCCTTAATTTACAAGCATTATAAGCAAAGATGGATAGTGGCTAGCAGTGGAATCCAGAATGCGCCTTTCGTCCTATTTGGGAATCGTCAGCTGCATGTACCTGCATCCGAGTTGATGTTCACTCTGGGACTCGAACCCAGTACCGTCCGCTTCAAACGCCATCGCGTTATCCACTTAGCTACTGAGTCCTGATAGCCACTTGCTTGTGCAATGGGGTGAAGTTTAATTCACTTGATATTGTTTTACTTGAAACTTCCCATTGATGTTTAGGACTGCAATTGATCAGTCTCTCATATTAGCATATTTATGTTCATAATTAAAATATTTGCCTTGTTGACTCATTTTTCCTATCCTCTAGTTAATGTTCGGTATGTTACTTATGTCTCTGTTTTTCCCTGTGTTAATAGACTGTACTGTTTGTTTTGTACACTAACGGTGTAAATTTGTTTTAGAAACAGATAAAGTTTATCAAGACAAATAGTTTACTTGTTCTGACTTTGGCTAAAGCAAGACTCTGTGTTCGACAGTCTAGATAATAGCTTAGTTACACCTGTAGGAAATTGCTTCCTACACCAATAAAACATACGATATCCGGCTGTTGCTGGTCACTGGTGTCATTTAACCTAAGAGAAACTGATTATTTGTGAATTAGATAATCTAGTGATTCAATTAAGTAAGCTTACAGAAATTTAATCCGCAACAACCTTATTCAGTGAATACAGACAAATCAATTGTAATTTTAAGAACTGCTGAGCACTTGTGAAATTAACTCATAAATTTTCGAAATGATAGACGTGAAAATTAGGTAAACTGCAACAAAGACCAGTGACAGTATTTTGAGTAACAGTTAGTTTTATTTACATGGACTAGGTTGACATGGTAACGGATTAATCACGCCGAAACAAGTTTATCAGTTAATTGAACAATATCTGCAGTAACGTTCAGACGTTTAAGGCACTGTTTATTTAGTTTAATAGAGACTAACAATGACTTCTGAACGCACTGTGCACACTTAAGCAATCATTTACGATTTCAATTGTTGAGATCATGAATCGATTGAAGCTAGACCACCATGGAAAACTTAGAAGCACTGGACGACAGTCTCGTCCTATTGTGGGGCTCCTCAGCAGTGCGCATCCACGACTTCACATGGCGGGATTCGAACCCAGGACCTGATAATAATTATTTACACACGTTTATTCTTTAGAAAATGAGACCACTTTCTGGCCAAACACATGCACTCATTATTGGATTGTTGATCAATCCACTGGATCATTGTCCTGATGTAGAGTGACAAACCGAGCCGATGAGAACTTTTGTTCAGTACTACGTTTACTATGACTGAATAAACCGGATATGTTATGTACTTGTACAAATGCAGGAGAAGACAACCAGTGTAGCTGCAGCCTCAGCAGCAATAGGTCTCAATATACACAAAGGAAAAAGCAAGATTCTTCGATACAACACAACATGTACCAATCCAATCACAATTGACGGAGAAGCTTTGGAAGATGTAAAAACCTTTACATATTTGGGCAATATCATCGATGAACACGGTGGATCTGATGCAGATGTGAAGGCACGGACTGGCAAAGCAAGAGCAGCATATCTACAACTGAAGAATATCTGGAACTCAAAACAATTAGCAACCAACACCAGTCAGAATTTTCAATACAAATGTGAAGACAGTTCTACTGTATGGCGCGGAAACCTGGAAAACTACGAAATCCATCGTCCAAAAGATACAGGTGTTTATTAACAGTTGTCTACGCAAAATACTTCAGATCCGCTGGCCGGACACTATAAGCAACAACCTACTATGGGAGAGAACAAATCAGATCCCAGTGGAGGAAGAAGCGCTGGAAGTGGATAGGACACACATTGAGGAAAACACCCAACTGCGTCACAAGACAAGCCCTCATATGGAATCCTCAAGGTCGAAGGAGGAGAGGAAGACCAAAGAATACATTACGCCGGGAAATGGAGATAGATATGAGAAAAATGAACAAGAATTGGATGGAACTAGGAAAGAAGGCCCAGGACAGAGTGGGTTGGAGAATGCTGGTCGGCGGCCTATGCTCCATTGGGAGTAACAGGCGTAAGTAAGTAAGTTATGTACTTGTAAAACATAATTCCCTTCACACTGGACTTCAAAAATACTACAAACTACAGAGCAATGTGCTTACGTAAGTTTTTCACTTCAAGATTAACAGGTGCTATTTTTTAATTGGTAGTGCCTGGAATACATTGAATATAATGTGGAATTATTTTCTTCGTCTTGAATGTTAAAATTTACTGAAACTCAACGATTGAAATCGGAATATTTGATGACGATCATAAATAAAAATTAACACGAAACACAATTTCACTGTTGATTCTCACTGAACAATAGGGAATAAGTGCTATAATTATCGAGAGAGAAAATTAATTTTACTTCAAAATGGAGCATTACATACTGAGTAATTGGTGCTTAGAAAATATTATCTTTGAATACACCATCTTCTGACAGTTTAGCTGAATCAAATAAATGTATAATCTTTTCAATTAATGCTTCATTTTAAACAATTGAAAACCGTTCATTAATTTGGAAATTTTGAAGTCACCTCTAAAAACAAACATGTTAGGTCCCTGAACTAAGAGATACATTACAGTTTCGATGTAACTAGAATCAACTTAAGACTTGTTTTTCTTAAAAAGATTTAATGACAGGCTTAATACCACTATTGTTAGTAACACGGAGACAAAATATACATTTTATACTGAACAGTGCTGTTACATAAAAATGAACAAATTTTCCTCCCGTAAACTTTTAAATTTACGAGATGAGAGTTAATGTATAATGGATGAAAAACCGAAGTAACAACAAAAGCGATGAATTACCAACCAACTAAGCTTGCTTTATTTATGACCGACAGCATCAGATCAAAACATACATGATGAATATTGAAGTACTGGCCGAAATGAAAACGGTTAGTTAAATTAAACCACATATGTTACAATTATCATCCTGATCTGAGGGAAAATATATATGAGGAAAGCACATGAGAATAGTTATTCAGAAAACACTGAAACAGATACCAATACATATATGAACATATACGATACATATTAAGCGTCAAACAATGTCATAATTTGAATCTGATTGGTTTAATTAAAAAAAGGAAAAAAAACTATACGGTGGTACGCATACAGTTTAGTTGATAGAAGACCATAACAAAGTAAACAAAAAACTGAAATATCCATGCAGATAGAAGAAAAAAATACATTTTCAAATAGGAAGTGCTTATTCTACACTTTTTGGAATAATTTACAAGATCTACAAAACATTGATAAAGTAATATAGTATACTTCTATAAAGAGGGAAATAGTCAAGATATGAATTAGAATGATAAATTAACTTTATCCATGTCTATAAACAATCAGAATAGGCATAAAATTAATTTTATGAAATGGTTTATTTTATTCATATTAATGACCCATTAGAGCAATTCCAAGAGCTTTACGTTGTTCTTCATTTAATTGACTTACACAAACCTCTACCAAAGATGAATTGGACTAAAAGAAAAGAAATAAAACAAACGATATTTGCGTGAAGGAAATTTTATTAGGTCTAAGGAGACTAAAATTTAAAAATAAAATGGGGTTTAAACATTTTTCATTTATAATATTGAGAGAGATCAATGCTTCCCTTTTACCTGTAACATATTTACAAGTGGATAGTTACAATAAAAAATCTTATTCGACAGTAGATTATTAGTCTTCAACTTGAACTGAAACATTCATCATTCTAATTGTTGAAAATACGATTCTATAAAGAAAACTATAATAATCAGTTACTTCTTAACGAAATATAGTATAAACAGAATACAAGAATTATGAAATGATTGTCACGCTGAGTGGAAGGTGAACTACAAAATTTTCTCTGATTAGAGTTTAAAAAAAAGAAATTCTAAAGACATTGTATGAAAGAGTTCGAAATCAATGGGAGTAAAACTTGCTCACTCCTTAGTTTTTTCACCTTTGATTGTTCAATTGTCATTGATCTATTGGAGTTGTATCTTAGGCTAAATTTTTTACTGAAATAATATATTTAACCCTAAATGAACTGACTCCGTAGTAACACAGTGAATTGTTTGATACTTCATGATAATACAGTGTTAATGAATAATTTAAAACATTATGAATATTGATAAATGCTGAAACGGTTCGGATCTCTATAAAGATTTTTTTACTTATGTACTTGTTTACGACTGTTACTTCTCGTGGAGGAGCATAGGTGAATTCGATAAAACGAGACAAGAAAGATGTCTTAGTTTTTATGGTCAAAATGAAAGATCTATACAGATCATAGAGTAACAAACTAGTCCAAAAGTAAAAGACAGTTTAGGGATTTTTTCTCTTTTAATCCTTAATATTCACAAACATTTCTGAAGAATAGCTGCCTAACAAACAGTAATTCTGTATGCATAATGTGTGAGATATACTTAGTGGGAAGGTGAAAACATGTTTATTGATGAAATCACGCCTTCTAAGCTGGGTGGGTTGATCTTGAAACTTTTATTATCTTAGTTATTAGCATGAACTCATGTTTAGAAAATATGAATTAAACTACAGTGGCTTACTTGTATGTGGCGCAGTATGGATACGCATCGTTGATAAGCGGAAGGTTTTTCCAAACCGTTTTGCTGATTGAAACCACTAGATTGATTAACCGTTTCCAATTTCGATCGATTTTCTTCAGCGTTTGTGTCAGACAAGCCGCCAGTAGACATAGATTCAGCGATAGCACGAACGATACGGGGTAGGTTGGAATTATCCGGCCCAATTACAACAGGATTGTTGGCTTCAATAAGATCACACAGATAGCCGTATACATGTTCAGTCTCTACAGTATCATCACATATAGGAAGCCAACCTAACCATCGAACGATCAAAGCGTCAATACCTCCTAGTGCCGGAGGTAAACATTCAGGTCGATATTTCATAATCTGTTCAATAAAAGCATTAATGTTGTTGAAAATGTAAGTTATTAATTGATATATAAATTAAGGAATGTCAGTAAACAAAGTGAACAGACAAATTTATTTCAATCAGAGCTACCGTAACCACCAGACAAATAAATTAGGTAATTACCACTAAGAATTCACATAGCACTGGAATGCAAAAATAGACAAAGAATAGCACGGATTGTGCAGAAACATGCATTTGAAAATTACTGAAACGCACCTTTGTGATAGCGCTAATTGCGTTTTCGGTGCATAAATTGTTTTCTTCAGACTTTGAATCTGGGGCTTCAATTAGCTGTATAAGTGGTCCAACAAAATCAGACAATATTTGATTATACTCAGGACCGCCTTTTATAGCAGCTACACCGATCCCATAAACAACAGCTTGACGAACATCTGGCTGCTGGTGATGTACAGCTTGGACAAACGTAGGCAAGAAGAATTGATGAAATTGCCAACTCTGTGTTCCAGTGAATTCAATTACCTCATCCCATAAACAGATGCCCCACTGCAAATCTGACCAAGGACGATTTTGTTCCTATAAAAAAAACGGGTTAAAACAAATATGACAATATGAATGAATAGGTGAAATACTTCCAACTAGTCTACATTCAGATGACACATAACAAACGTATTATGTTAAAACTTGTCCAGATCAAATGCTCTTAAGATTTATGATAGGATATCATGTCAGGAAAAGTTATATTAAACAGACATTGCCCTTAATTAACAGTAGAAATCCCTAGTTTTTATTATAACAATCTGTGGGGTAAGTGATTTGAAATGGTGTACTGTAGTGGAATGTATAATTGGTTTTGTATTTACACTTGGTGCACTAAAGCAGATAACTGTACGATGTGTAGGTAGTTTAATCGATTTTTTCTATCAATACCAATCCAAATTCGACTGCTTTTCACAGTATATTCATCCATCTGTAATCAAAGTAGAGCCAGACACAGATGTATGTAGGCATAAGTCATACCATATCGGGACGAGATGAGATAAATATTAGAGTTCAAATAAAGTAGCAGTAATAATAATCAGAGATTAAACATTGAGATTATTTGAAAAGACATAATGGAAAGGTACATATAAAAGAATACTGCAACTCAAAATAGGGAGGGAGATAAAGAGTGGTGCCATCTGCGTTAATACGAACGAATCTCAATCATTGATCATGGTCATCCAGTGGACACCAATCAGACAGTGTACACCTACCAACATGTCTCAGATCAACAGTCAGTGACTTCATGGATTGATATCATGTGTTGGTTTGGCCATGTCTAACTTTCTTCAAACTTACTCTCACATCAGAAAACATTGCCAATTGAAATGCGTGGTAGGTAGAGGGACATAAGTAGCACGTCGTAATTATTACAGTTGATGAAGTTTTACATCACCGATGTTTAGTACTTAATGACTAACATTAATATTGCTCACTCGGTCATTTTACAGTGTGCAAGCAATGCTATGAAGAACCATATAAAAAAGAACTTGCAGCCTATGCAGGGTAAAGAAAGAGAATGTTTAGAGCTAAAAAGTAACTTATTGAAAAGAAAGTGACATAAATATTTCCCTTAACATTGGATGTCCGGAGCTTAAACTAGGTTGATGGTTGGATCAGTTAGTCAATAGCAACGTAGAACTTTGTACGTACCTACACCAGTTCGAGTTGCCATACCACATTGGCACAAAGATGCAGTTGTGGTACAGGTAGTAAGAGTATAAGCAGTAATCGGAAAGATTAGAGTCTGAAGATGTTAAAATCCAGTTAAATAAATTTGGAAAGAGAAAAAAACTGCATAAAGAACTCAGGAGATTAGAATTTGGGAAAAAACAAAGAGTAGATGCACCTGCGCCATTGCAAACGATTTTGAGCCATGTCATTCAAGATCTCTAACCATCGGTCGCTATCATCTCGCTGTCCCCAACCAAGTAGTCTACATCTACCAACATGGCTCAGTCCACTTGTCAGTGACTTCATGGATTTGTGCCATGTTTTGGTCTGGCCGCCCCTAGCTTTCTTCTAACCTACTCCTACACCATAAAACATCGCACGTCGTGGCAGTCGGTGGTCGGGCATGCGCAACACATGTCCCAGCCATCTCAACTGATTAAGTTTCACTACTTCCTCAATTGATTTGCCATCCTTACCTAGTAGCCGTTTCCTAACAACTGAGTTGCTTACTCGGTGGTCCCAGGATATACGAGCAATCTTTTGAAGACACCTATGATCAAATATTAATAACCTACGAATATCCTCTACTCTTGCCGGCCATGTTTCATTGCCATAAAGTAGGACGGAACGAACTGCTGAGCAGTAAACACGTCCTTTGGTTGATAGACGGGTATCTCGCCTACGCCACAAATGACGCAAGTTGGCAAAAGCTAGTCGAGCCTTCTGTATCTGTGCTGAGATTTCTTCACACACCAGACCACAAGGGCTGATGAGACTTCCGAGATAAGTGAAGTGGTTGACACGCTCAACTACTTCACTCCCTATCACTAGTTCGAGTGTCGATGCAACCCAATCCTGAAGCAACATTTTGCATTTCGAGGGAGAAAATCGCATGCCGAACATGCTTGCATTGTTGCTTAGAGTGGCCAGCAGACTCTGCATTTTGTCAGCGTCTTTACTAAATAGAACTATGTCATCGGCATATTCTAAGTCAACAAGTGGATCTCCCGGTAGAAGTTCAACCCTTGGAAATTTAGATGAGGAAAGTGGGTTGGATACATAGAATCCACCTAGGAGAAACGGAAAAACCCTGATTTCAAACCAATGGTACACGTGGGTTTTAAGATCCTGGGGGGAAATGTTGTAAATATATTTTGCTTTAGTTTTGTATCGATGTTTATATAAATGGTAAATAAACACATACCAGGAGTTTGACACAGAATACCATAAGTTGTTGAAAGAAAGGAAGTGCTTCAACACCAAAAGCAGCAAAAATGGAATGAACAATATCACACATTTTTGATAAAACGTATTCATCTTCATCTTTTTCACTTAACAGGCGCTCTTCTTCAAATTCATCATAATCTTCATTCTGGAAAAAGTAGAAAAATATTATAATTTGTTTCGAATAAATGTGTTGTGCAAATCGATATAATAATGTCACGCTTATGATGGTTAAGTGAAATTCTTTCTTAAACATGAGTGAAATACATCATAATATACATACTTTATCATCAAAGAAGTGAATAAAATAGGCAGACAGTCCAGTTTATTGTACCTATGAATAAAATTAAAATATTTAATATTTTTGTTTATGTTCCATTTGCCTATTTAGTTAACTGACGATACATTACAAAAGATAATAAACATATAAACTATTTAAAATTTTTCAGCAATGTCGACAATATACAAGTAATTTCTGAATTAATTGCAACATGGCAATCAACTCAACTGACAGATTCAGTGTCCCATATAAAAGAACGAAAAGTGTAATGTTTGTGAGGTTTATTGATCACCAGAAATCGTCAAATGTAAATTAAAGAGAGCGTATTGTGTGTTTAAATACTTCTGTGTAAGTGACTTTTTATGAACATTACAAGAACAATGTAAACTGAGTGCAACATACCTGTCGTTGTGCAAGACGTTCGTCACTTTTTTCAAAATGTTCATGGAACAAATGATCTAACAGATTTCGAATTTCAGCTAATTGATCACTGGTCACGTAAGTCTTTCCAACTGCTTCGATAGAATTCGCAAGTGCTTGTAAATGATCTGCTACAACATCACGTTCAGGTTCGTTGGTTACTGCTCGTATAAGACTTTTGTGTACACGTTCCCAGGCAGCTTTTACCAATTCTGGTTGCTTAACCTTCATACTACTAAGAAGAAAAGGTAAGCATTCAGCAGCAGCACTACGAACCTATTTGTTTGAAGAAAAACGTCAAGAAATGGATGATTGATGTAGTTTGTAGAAACACAACAAGAAAAACCTTCTATTGATAAATATCATAAAGTAAGGATAGTTATATGGTGTAGCCCTCGACACCTAGTGGATGTCAGTATTTTCACTGATCAAGTTTTCGTGTCGTAGAGGTCCTCTCAGTCGATGGATAGCTATGGTCTTGCATATGTGAATATGGTTCCTTAGAATAAATACACACACTGAAATCTTTAAAAAACACTGAAGTATTAGTGACTTGGGAGCTTCGTATTTGCTATTAATAGAATTCGTTAAAATTATAATACCGGAAAATTAGAGTTGAGAACTACGATTTTCTATGTCGATAAATGAATTTTCAATTGTTAAAATCAATGAGTATAAATGATGATCAATCAGTGATATGCAGTGACAGTGTATTCGAGAATAGTGGCTGCTCACGAGATCGAATTGTTGACATAAGCCGCCGAATGATTTAAAACTAAAGACAAGACCACTGGCCACAATAATCAATTTCTTAATTTAATAAAATGACAGTTTTATATATGAAATATCAGTACGAAAAACAATACGGTAAAATGTCATAAGCCACTGGAAGAAATCACAATTTGTAGGTCACTCACGCTTTGCTCGATTGAAACCTAACAATTAGGCGTAATTTTTCCTTTCCATATCACTTAGCCACGGAATATAGTAATCATTAATTACTTAAGGGAGGAGGTATATTCATATTGTTAATTTGATTATAAGACTTAAAAATGTCAAATAATTTACAAAACATTTTTTAAAGAAAAAATTTATCAACTGATTAATTAAATTGAACTGATAATAACTTAGTATAACTTACTTCATCATTAAAATAGAAGTCAAGCAACGGGACCATAATATCCAAAACTTGTTGACAATAAGGAGCAAAACTCTCCTTCATTTCACGTGCATAACAAACTAGCATCTGACAAGCTGTTGCTTTGTCTTCTAGTCCACTATAGAAAAATAAACAATTTTACCAACCATTAGGGTTTGAACTAAATTAAGCTAACAATAAAATAATCATTATATTTTCAACTTACCTTGTACGAATTGCATAATTACGATCCTCTCCCAATTTGACAACTTGCCAATCAACATCCGATTCTACATCGTCTGCTTCGTCATTGTCGAGGATACAAATCTCAGGTTTTACACAGGCAGAGCGTAATACTTGTGGCATAACAACAGGAAGATAACTTTCGAAATCACGACCCAATAGCTTGCAGATTCGTGCCCAAGCGCTAATCATATAAGAAGCCTAGGAATTAGAAATTATAATCATGAATCAAAAGAATAACAGTAGATGTAAACATATTTCTAAATACCATATAATGACGACTTACTTGAGGATCATCTTCATCTGATGATTCAGAGTCCGGTTGAGTTTGAGTTTGAAGTAATAGATTCATTACTGGACCAACATCCTGAATAAACTTTTCTTTTCCAACAGCCAATCCAATAAGACTTATACACTCAATAGTTTTACCACGCAATAGACGTAAATCTTTATGTATAGCATTTTCCATTATATATTTTAGAACTGGCATAAAACTGCAGACAAAATAAACATAAAATTAGGATTAACATAGTATATATATAAGATGATGAATATTCAAATTAATAAAATATAGTTTGCTATATTCTAAACAATCTACCTAATTAGTAATAGCTAAGAAGAAATAACTCTTAAGTAGGCCTGCAACGCTTTTGATAAATGTATAATTAATTAGCACTAACCATTTCTATATTAACGAATGACTACGGTGTGCTGTTTATTTATTTATTTGAACACATAAATATTGGTACAAGGGGGCACCAAATATATATGCGCCACACAAAACAATGAAAATTTAAAGAGAAGGAAAAAAAGGTACGGAACGTAGGGAATTATAAAAAAAAAGAACAAAAATGAGGGAAACGATAAGGTACAATCAGAGGAAATCTTACAGTTAAGGAAGAGGCAACCACTCTTTACGAAGAAATTAAAAGGTTACAGCAGGATCGCCACTGACTTCTATTCTGAGCCATATCTGATAACGTCTCTAGCCATTGTGTTACACCATCTCTCGGACCCCAGCCAGGGAGTCGTGAAGGACCAACACAAGCAAGTCCTTTGCAGCTTTCTTTCATACCACGACACCATCTCATATACTGACCACTTCTCCGCTTATTCCAACCAGTCCCAGAGTCGGCAAATGATGCACGACGAGGAATTATTTGGGATGACATTCGTAGAACACGTCCAAGCCACCGAAGTCGGTGTTTCAAGATGGTGACACCAATGGAATTATCATCTCTGTGCCCGAACATACGATGTCGAACCTCTGCATTACTAACATGGTGTTGCCACTGGATGTCAGCAATCCTCCGGAGACAGCGATGATCGAACACAGAGAGTCGTCTAACATCCTCAACTAGGAGAGGCCAGGTTTCACAAGCATAGAGCAAAACTGCTCTCACCGTCGCGTTGTAGATCCGACTTTTTACAGCCAGATTAACATCACGAAGGCGCAAAAGATAGCCCATATTGGCATTAGCCGCTCTGGCTTTTACTATACGTGCATTGATCTCATCACTCACACCACCACCAGCACTTATGCAGCTACCCAGATACACGAACTTCTCGACCACTTCCATCTGCTCACCATCCACAGTGAGTATAGGATTAGAATCCTGCCAGTCTTGTAGAGGTACTTTACGCTTCGAAGGTGCAAAGCACATACCATACCTACGGACATTGATTGCCAACTGATTAAGTGCGGATTGCATGGCTTGGGCATTCTCGCACAGTAAGACAATATCATCCGCATACTCAAGGTCGAGAAGTCTTTCTCCAGGCAACAGATCCACACCACCATTACTTACATCCGTCAGAGCTGTTTCCAGAATGTCATCGATGGCAAAGTTGAAGAGGAATGGTGAGATTGGGCAACCTTGCCTAACCCCACTGCTTGAATGGAACAATGGAGAAAGGTGGTTGTATGCCCTCACTCTGCCTGAGCTGTTCGTGTATAGGGCTTTCAGGATGTTAATAAACTTCTCAGGCACACCCTTCTTCAATAGACAATCCCAGAGAACAGTTCTGTCCAACGAATCGAAGGCAGCCCTGATATCAAGAAACACTACGATTGTTGGCCTTTGATAAGTATGACGGTGTTCTTACATTTGGAGGAGGGTGAAGATGTGATCAATACATCCTTGACCGGAACAAACCCAGCCTGCTCCTCGCGAGTCAATCCTTCTCGGGTTTTGAACAACCTACGAAGTATGACGGAAGCCAATAGCTTGGACGCAATCGGAAGTAGACTTATCCTCCCATAGTTGTTACAGAAACGTGAACCCTTTTTAAAGATAGGAAAGTCACCATCATCTTCAAAAAGAGCCGGAGGTGAGTCATCTTGGCCTGGTGATTTGTAGCGCCTCAAGAGCTGGAGTTTCTTGCGGACTTCCGCCTCATTTGGTGGATCAGTCGTCACCGGCCATGGAGGGCAGGACAGTCTGATCGATGTTGCCGGAGCAACAGGTCAGTTGGACTGCCTCTCGAAAAATTCTGCCCATCGTCCAAGACGTCGATGGATGTTAGTGATTGGCGTTCCGTCATCTTCGCAGATTGTTTTGCTCACACCAGACTTCTTGCTGCCAGTGGCTCGGATGAGTTGGAAGAGCTTCCGGTAATTACCAGATGCAGCTGCTGCTTCCAGCTCGTTAGCACGCTCCGACCACCAGGCTTCTCGTTCCTTACGCAAGCTTTGCCCGATTTCATTACGTAACATCCTTCGTCTGTGGTCAAACTCACGGTCACCCGATGTAGACCGACGGGTTTCAATGAGTTGTAAGGAACCAGAAGAAACCCAGTGCTTGTAAGCGGGACGTTTCGCAAACCCACAACAGACTTTACCCGCCATTTTCATGGCGTCATGAAATTGCAACCAATGCTCATCTATACTTTTCGGTGGAATGGTAGCTAGCCTAGAAGCTAGCTCGATTCGGTACTAACTAGCAACAGAGGTTACAACCAGCTTGCTAACCTCAATTTTTTGGTGGCGGTCACTTCATTGGCCACTAAAATGTAAGGTAAGATTGGCGCAGATCAGAGCATAATCAGATTCCAGATAGGTAAGCTAAAAGGAGCGGCAGTCTTGTACACCACGCCAGTGGTAGCTGATCGCGATGCGATCAATCTGAGTCCAGGCTTGAGGTGCAGAAGGAGGACGCCAGGTGGCACATCGGCGATGACTGTGCCGAAAGTTAATGCTAGCCAGAAACAGGTTGTGGTCTGTGCACAGTTGCAGTAGACGCTCCCCGTTATCTGTCCTGCGACCAACGAGTCCCCATCGGCCACCTAAACGACTCTCTTCTGTGCCTAGACACCCGACCTGAGCATTCAAGTCTCCAGCTAGTACTACAATATCTGTCGAACGCACTTTCTGGAGAAGAACAGTTAGCTGGTGGTAGAACTCGTCCTTGATTGCATCCGGGCTGCAATCTGTCGGGGCATAGGCGGAGATGACGAAAAGACATTGTTTCTCACTTCGATGGTATTTTCTAATCTAACAGCACATAACCGACTGTTAATGGGGATCCAATCGATTAATGCTGTCTCAGCTCTAGTGCTTAGTGTGACACCAACGCTAGCAAGACCAGATGAAGATGCCACAGAGTCCCTGGATAAACACACGTAAAACAAGCTTTTTGAAGTGACAGATGGAGAGCGAATTTGTAGTACTTCATCAGAGTTTTGAATACGGGTCTCGGATAGACAACACACGTCAATATTAAGACTTTCCAAAGACATAGCCAGCCCTATCTGTTGTTCGATCTGCATAAGTGTGCGAACGTTGAAGGCAGCCAGTTTGAATGGTGCACGTGGTTTCAGAAAAACTGCTTCAGTAGTCTTATTCGATAGTAACATACAATTTTAATCCAGGTAGTGACACGAGAACGTTTAGATAGAGCCGAATGTCCACCATAGGCGAGCTGCTGTATAAGTCGAAAAATAAGGATAGACAGAGTGGGAATAAAAGAGAGTGAATAAATGACGTGGTAAATAATAATAGTATTCATACTAATACTAATAATAATAATAATAATAATAATAATAATAATAATAATAATAATAATAATAATAATAATAATAATAATGTGAGTTGTCTGACGGTAAATCGCGGCGTGAATAGAGTTTTCAGAGAACATCATCATTTTCATTATATTTGTGTGTGGGCTGTGATACTGCCCGGGTGCCCAGACCGAAGAAGGTGGTTTTCTTAGGGGGCCAACACCCCGAGCCTTTGACTTAAAGGTCTAACCCACAAGGCAGTGGAGCATCGTGAGGAGATGCAGTCCTATGGAAGCCGGTGACCAAGAAATTGGTTTATATGCCGTTTGTTCCCGCAGGATACTGGAGCCCATGACACAGAATCTTGATTTAAGAGATAGAGTAGGTCTAAGTCGTAGTTTCTAGTAACAAATCGGGAAATATACAAATTGTAAGATTAAGTTAATATACCTCTCTAATGAGTGATAATAATGTTAGGATTTATATAGCTCAAGGTATGCAGCTAATTATTCCTGTCATATTGGGAATGTTATATTTAGAGCTTAGACTTTTGCTATACCGCGTACAAATTGAGTACTTGAACGCTAGAAACCTTCAAGTCGCAAGTTAGAAGACAGAAAACGAGTGGGAAAGAAACTTATTCCAAAGTGTCGAATATGGTACAAAACACTCAGGTATTTATAGTTTTTAGTACAAAAGAAATCATTATCACAGTTATTCAATCCGCGTATAGTGGTTTTTTGCGTTTGTTCAATCGGGAAGCTACAGGTCGAAATTCTGCAAAGTCCTTCCAAAAGATGAATAGACGGAGTGTTTCCGAGATTCCTTGAGTTCACCGGGAGCCGTCTCCACAGGGAGATAGACAGGAAACTTACATTGTCTCAGACAGTATCCGATAATATTAATAATTTATTTCAGCCCTACATATTTTAATACCTTTTCTTATTCAATCTTGTCATAGACATACAACCTCAAGTGATTTTATCCATTTTGACATTGATTTTCTTACTCAAAGACTTCGCAATCAGACTATTTACATGACTTGAGTCTGTCAAAGAGAAAAAAAAAGATAGCATTCTTTTCCGACCTTCTTAAATGGAAAATGTTACTTTTAAATTTATTTAATTCGTGCACATAGTTCCCTTTATTATTTTAAAGAGAGCAAGAACAAAGGTTGGTGCAGAATAATATGAATCCATTTTATTTCGTTAGGTTCTCATCAGCTGCTTACAACCTAAAATATTTGAAATTCAATGTTATTACAGTTATTGACATACTTATACATCAGAGGGTAATAAAGGATTAATATATGTAACATGATGTAGCAAAGATACCGTTAATGAGGTCAGAAAATGTTTGTTTCGAATGCATAGAGTTTGGGAGGGAAGGTTCCATAACGTAGAAATAATGATTAGAACTCATAGAATTAAAAACACATTAGATGATTATGTAATGAAGTAACAGAAAATAGATTAATGGTAATAAAGAGAGATATGAATTGAAATCGGTCAGTTATGAGTGACGTAATTATAAAATTCAGAAAGAGTTGGAATGACGTAATAAATAAAAGGGGGGTAATGTTACCAGGGCAAAGAAAGATTTACTACTGTTTCTTTTTGTATACAAAGATCCGGTTTTAAACGATTGATTGCTTTCGCTTTGGCAAATTTCAGAAGGTTTGAATTTGACTGTTTGTTGATCACCTTGAAGGATTTATTTAATTCGATTATCAGTTTCGTTAAATCAATTGGTGGAGCAACTGATGATGCTTTATTTTTTTTTAACTACAGACACTAACTCTGGTATTTTTGCATTTTGATCGACATGGAAATGTAATGTAGTGATTGAAAATAAGGACAAGATCTTACATAATACAGCCGGTGAACCTGATCGGCCTAACTTAAATTAGGTAACAGTTTGCTCCGATAGTTTGAGAAAGGAATAAACATCATACGAACATCGTTATGAATATACCATCGATAAAATCTTTATATTGAATAACTATGTTGACGAATAAAATGCAGTGAGGCACTGAATGTAGTCATGTAGTGTTAGTTATAAAATGTGGAGAAAAAATAAATGAGCAAAGATGTATACAGACTGACCGATTATTTTTCTCTACTTAATAAAAGATTGTTCAGGCTTAGGAACAATTAATTATATAGTCTATAAAGTTGTTGAGTTTTCATAAACGACTTTAAATATTTCAAATATACTTCACAACTAAGGACACATGGAAAAAGTTAAAACCACAGTTTGAAGGTTTATTATAGTCTAAAACGGGAAATCGATATATGTAAAGTAAACGCACCGATCATAATACGGTAAGAACTTCTTTTCAGCTGCATCAGCAACAGATGCCACAGTTGTTACTATTTGCATGAGCACTAACTTGCGACCATGCTCCACCATCTCCTGAAACTTGGAATTCATGATTTGTTCGAGTTTGGAGACCAGATCATCTAAGTAATTTACCAAAATGTGCTGCAAAATGGAATATATGAGCATGTATATTTACCGATTAAGATATTTATTTGTTTGCACGATGAGCTAACGTAAGTAAATGTAGTCAGTTATTTTTTAAATTTGTGGAATTAAACATTTTATTTCTCTTATTATTTGGTTGGGGATTATTTTGCATGATAAGAATACTTTGTTTACATTCAGTTCCACTTAATTTAGAGAATTAAGTTATTAAACAAACTCGATTATTAGACTGACCAATACATTAATTTTACACAAGTGAATATCATCTCAATGAAACTCTAAAATTATAACCTAGTGACCGAAAGTCACGTAATTGAGTGGCATATCGAGTGAAGAAGCATATTTACGCAATCACCTCAAGGTTGTATGATAAGTCAGGTGGATATCCAGATGATTTGTAAACCACAGTAATGCCGTGAGAAGGCAGTGAGTAGGACTTCCCTGGCAGTCGTTATATACGTGTTGCCATGTGAGAGCATTTCGATGGGGAAAACGGACTCTCCTCACCCTCAAGCCGTACCAGGGCATATGGGGGCTGTTTTTTGTTATAGTGATCAAGCGTTAGAAGCTTGTATTTGGTAGCTATATCGGACCGTAGATGATAGTAACAGAATTGAACCAAAGTCTAATTATGCGGATAGATGCAAATTCAAAGGTAATTGTTGAAGTCTTTATTATAAAATACGTGGTGGTTTTCATAAGGAATGAATATAATCCAACTACTGAGTTAAAATTATTGCATGTTAATGATTCCGAAAAAACCACACCAATAAAAATGTTTTATATACAAACCTGTGGCACTTTCTCACAAAAATTGACTAGAGCAGCCCCAGCATTGGCTTGTACTCTAGGCACTGTATCGTTAAGTGTTTGAACTAATGCTGGGAGCACAGTACTGTGATGAGTTTTCTGTAGTTTTGGACCAAAATCCGTTGCCATTTGTCCAACAGAATTGCAAGCTGCATATCGAACACGTGGATGCGGATCACTAAGACGAGGGAGGACGGCATCTAATATAGAACCAAGCATAGTCTCCATTTGTTTGCTGCTCCCTTCACTGCATGCGGAAATCGCCATTAATCCGGCATACCGTCGCTTCCAGTCAGCTGTAAACAAAACAATAATATTCACTTGGTATTGTTTGTTTGAATCTTCCCATTGATGTTTAGGACTACAATTGATCAGTCTCTTATTGGCATCAGTCAGTTACAACGTAGGACCAGGCACAAACATGACTCGATCCAAGTTTCCACACTTCATTAGCACAGCAAGACGAACACCGGATTCATAGAAGCAGTTAACTCAATGGTGTAATATATAAAGGAAAGATTTTATCTAAGGACATTGTGATCGATTGTGAGTCATGTCACCCCGAGTCTCCAACCATTGGTTACGATAGTCGCGCGGACCCCAACCAAGTAGTCTGAATCTACCAACATGGCTGAGACTAGAAGTTAGCGACTTCAAGGACTGATGCCATGTTTTGGTTTGATATATGTGCATATTGTGCGTATTTCCTCGATATAGCCTTAATTCACAAGTATTAAATGCAAAGATGGATAGTGGCTAGCAAATAGGACGAAACCCGCGTCCTGGATTCCACTGCTAGCCACTATCTATCTTTGCATATAAAACAATAATAGTTTCAAACAGAACTTATTTGATGAATAACCATCAAGATACCCAGTAAGATGAACAGATTAATTAAGAATCACAATTACACGGAATATAGGACTACTAAAAACCAAACTAATATCTTTCCTTCGAAATAGTACAGACATATTTGTACGTTGGCTAAGGAAATGTAGATTTTGTGTAGCAACTGTTAGTTACTTAACCCGTAAAATAAAGGAAAAAACTTATAATTCGTGAATTACCGTGTTGCAGCATATTTGGAACAGATCGACGAATTTCATTTAAGATATGTTGACCACCTACAGCACATGATAACCTGTCAAGCGCAAGTTCCGCCGTAAGAGCATTACTACTGTCGTCCTCCTCTTCTGCAGTGTCAGCATCAGCCCAGTCAGGTTCTTCATCAACTTCTGACATCATGTTGAGCAATGTTCCCACAAGAGACTCGATTAAACTGGCTGACTTTCGTACACCTGCTGGTATATTTTCTGCTAGTGTAACAATCACTTCCAAGGCTAAATGTCTTTGTGTTTCCTCAAGCTCTTCGTTACACAATATCTACATAAGGAAAGTAAGAATTATGTTTAAAAATACGGTTCAAGATAGAATTATTTAAAAAATTCGAGTGATCAAGAAGATTGTGCTCTCAAAAAACTCCAGGATTGCAATCTACCTTATGCATATAAATTTTGATTGTAAGACAAAGACCTTAACAAATTGTCATGGATGGAAAAAACGATAATTAACCAGCAGTTGAAATTTTAAGATAGTTATTTGTGAAAACCATATTTGAAATAATCTCAGTGATTGAAATCTAAATAATTTGAACATTTCGTCCTACAAACTTTCCTGGACTTCTTCAGGGTAACTATTGAAATCAAAACTATCAAAGAAATATATTATGTGTAACAATCAAGCCAAAACCTTACTATGCTTATCCAATCATATTCAGATATTGACTTTAGTAAGAAGGATAACATGAATCAGTTATATGCGAATCATGTGAAAATTTCACAATGTGAAGATAGACAAATGAATGATTGTAAATTCGAGTTATTAATAGTTGATATTAGGTGTTAATTCGTTTTCGTTGGAAATAGAAATCAAAAGTGCAAAGTTAAAATGTTTTATGGGATATCGATGTGTATGTAGAATGAGAACCATCAAATACATAATTGTAGTGGTAAAATATCCCAATTAATTCCTGTCAGAATAACGATGCATGTGAAATAAATAGGTTGGATGGAGAGAGAGTCTAATTACTTGTTAATGATCATTGGACAAGGAGTGGCTTTGAAACTACAAAGAATACATCTGAGATAATACAAGTGTCCATTGAAATTTTCATTTAACAATGTAACTCGGTTGATTCAAAGTAAAAAAACCAATCGTTTCTGTTTAAAGTCTGAACAAGTACAACGAATAAGTTAAAATGTTACTAACTTGTGACAAAAAAGTCTACAAATAATCAATTTGTGAACTTGTTCTATGGCGAATAATTTTTAATGGTTAAATTTGAACTATTAAAATTCGGTTTAGTATTTTGCTTAGAATATGATTTTTAAAAATGCAAAAGAAAAATAATTTCAGAATATTTTGGTGTTAAAACACGTAGGGATTTGTAATTCAATGTACAATGAATGACAATTAAGTTTGGAAAAGTGACTAGATCGATTAAAGTGATTATTTGTAAAACTAATAAACATACATAACAGTTCACATAATACATGTTTTATCTACTAACATGCAATTAGTGAATGCCCATTAATACAATAAAAATCATTTTGTGTACTCAAATTATAAAGTAATGAAGATTTATCCATAGCAAGCACTTAAGGCATAAGACTAATATGTTTAGACCAATTAAAAATATTTGATGTTTTTCCGTACAACGTTACGCTTCCTAAGTATTGTATATTTGTATAGTGGATATGAATGACAACATTAAACAGTTTTCCGGCGGATAGCATATTCTGTCAGAAAACCGTCTAGTTTTATAAATTTATCACCCCTATTTTGTCTATTTAAAATAGTGGTTTATTACATTCACAGGTTCAAACTTTGTTTTGCCTACTTAGTGATTTCATATTATTTTTGTGACAATTTAGCTCGTCTCCCAGTTTGACGCAAAGCTTTGTAAACAGACCCCTGAAAAGTGAACGTGTTTTATTTACTTTGTCTGTTTACTAAAATAAGGATTTTCGCTTAAGATTTCATTGAATATATGTTGGTTGTAAAAGTTTCGTATGCAAAAATAAAACTGGCTGTATAAACTCTAAAGCTGGGTTTAAAGCAATAAGTGCGAAAAAGCGAATTATATGTATGGAAGAAATTACTAGAAAGCAAGAAAAAATAGTGCATTTGTAGCATACCTTATAGCATAACTCCAATGTAGGCGCTAGATAAGGTCTTAAGTATTTATGCGCAGCATCTGCAATGTCAACTAAAGCTTTTAGAGGTGTATCATCTTCTGAATCTGTTTGGATAGCAGTAGCGATAGCCTGAAACAAGGAATACATCAAATAATTGAGAAACAAAAACTTACGGTAAACCTTTTTTATCAGATGGAAATTCTGAAAACCAACAAATTCAAAATATAATCTATTTAATAAGTAGATGACAGCTGAACCAAAATGATGAACGATAGTTCATCATTATCAATGATTTCTGATATGATTTAGTGAATAGGGATGAATAATACAATATTTTCTGCCTCAACATACAAAAGAACATCCATAATACAGCAAACCATGAAATTAGATTGTTACTACGTGGAAAATAATAACTCTTATGTATGAGTTACAAATAACTAAAACCGGAGAGAGAAAACAACTGAATTTTCATACTCGACATCTTTATGTTAGACAAGTTCCTCATATTAATTACGATGAAACATGGGTAAATTCTAAACAACTATACCTGTAGTGCAACGGGAACCAATTCTCGGAGAGATTGAAGTACAGAGTCTTCAGTTGCATTTTGAACAGTAAAGGCAGCTAAGGCACGTAACCCTGCAGCTCGAAGCTCTGAACTTGACGGGTCAGAAATAGCCCTGACCAGAAACTGACCAATAATCCCTATGCTTTGTGCCTGTTGGTTTCCAAATAGTGATGGGACTGATCCAAAAATGTGGCAGGCGATTTCGCGTAACCCGGAATCAGGTGAATTCGACCATTCAAGCAAAATGGAAGTGAATTCTGGCCACTCAGAATTACCATCATCATCTATATAAATGTTCAAAATCATAGTGTTAATAGTGCAGCAAAAAGAATTACGTCCACTAATATCAACAGATAGAATTTTGTTCCTTTCAAATTTATGAACTACTTGATCATCGTTCTAGTTGTGTAGAATGGTGGTTTAGTGGTTAAGGTATTCGACTCTCAGAATTAGAAACCCGATTCAACTACTTTGATGTGGATAACCGTGTTTTCTCGTAAGCGCTTAAAACTAGGGTGTGACTTGTATTCCGGTACCTGGTGAATGAGTTAATCTAATTCTAAGAATACATTCTAGTTGTAAATGATTTCTGCTTTTAGACTAGCAAATTGAAGCATACTGAAATATAACACTGGACGTTCATTTTCAAATACACGAATTAAACCGTACAATCACAGCACATTTCGAAACAATATACTCTACCTATATAAGCCTATAGCATTAAAATGTACTAATCATATTTTGGAATACCTAGGATATTTGACATGTGAAAATCCCCTCTCATAAAGTCCAACAACAGATAATAACATTGTTTTTAATAAATACTTGCCTACTTCTTGATTAACTTTAACAATAAGCACTTGAATTATATGCACATTCTGAGCATGAACACCAAATAATAGCCACTTAAAACGAAATTCAAGAGAGATAAATAAACCTACCGAATTGCATTCGAACCAGTTCGGAGATCAGATCAGCTACTTTCCTGCGCATTAATTGTTCTCTTTCATGAACTAAAATTAAAACTAGCTGTTGCTTAGCTGAATTTTTTGTTTCGACTGGAAGAGGCTCGAATGCTGAACCATAATCATTGACTAGTAGCCGGCGTGCAAGAATCGCAGCCATATGTCGAGACTGACAACAATCCGGAAATTTAAAAATTAACATAAAAATTATTTCGAAAGTGAATAACATGACAGCAATTAAGGTGTGACCCAACCCTACATATTTTATAATATGTAGTACTACAGTTACAAACAAGATGGTTTTGACCGGTATTATGTTTGCATAAATTTCTTAGTCTTAAAGCATAAGTCATGACGGACCAAATAGACACTGTGATAGTATTTAGAAAGTTTGCAACATCTGCAGGGCAGGAACTTGGGGACAAAAAGCGTGAGTTGATCGCCGACACACAAGACTAATTTTGGTTTATTTACATTTGATAGTAACTTGGTGTTTGTTATAGGAACGATTATTGAAATAGGAAAGACATTACAATTCTTCTAAATCAATAACTGATTAGCCTACGTTTTAACACTGACAGCCAATCATCTATTATCTAGAAAACGATAGTAAACCATGTACTTACTGAAGCATATTAATCTGATACAGGCTTATATATAGAACTCATCATGTGGTTACTTTGATAGAAATATCGGGATGAACAAATGTACGCCATATGGGCTGGCTATATTATTTTGCACCGACTAAAATAAATGAGTTTTGACCCCGTGAAACAATAGTGGGGTTGAAAGATGGCACTGTCTATTAACCACTAGGACCCTCGAGTCTGTGCGAATACGCATTGCTTTATTTTTTTAATTCAATGTTCAGAGAAAATAAAGAGTTTGGTGTCAGCTTTAGATCTTAGTGCAGATAAAGATAGCTATTTCTAAAACTACCTTAAGTGTGTTTTAAACCGAGTGTCTGCATGAAATAGTTTGGATAAATCGGACCTGGACAGTGAAAAATCAGGTATGTTTGGTAAGAGTTCTACATCTATGAAATGTGATATAGCTTCGGGAAATGGGTGGGAATCTGGATGAAGTAGCAATATGAAGATCAGATTGACGACCACATTATTTCCTGAAGCTGGTAAAAATTAAGTCCAGAACTACGAATACCATTGGTAAACAAAAGGACTACAAGTATATGGTCAAAGGTAACTCTCAAGAATTCATACTGTGATATCAACATAGAGCCTGGCACAGATGTGCATTGGTTCAGTTCATATCATATTAGAAGGGTGAGACGAATATAAAAATTTGAATTGCAATGGATTGAAATAATGCAGTAATAATAATCAGAGATTAAACATTGAGATTATTTGAAAAGACATAATGGAAAGGTACATATAAAAGAATACTGCAACTCAAAATAGGGAGGGAGATAAAGAGTGGTGCCATCTGCGTTAATACGAACGAATCTCAATCATTGATCATGGTCATCCAGTGGACACCAATCAGACAGTGTACATCTACCAACATGTCTCAGATCAACAGTCAGTGACTTCATGGATTGATATCACGTGTTGGTTTGGCCATGTCTAACTTTCTTTAAACTTACTCTCACATCAGAAAACATTGCCAATTGAAATGCGTGGTAGGTAGAGGGACATAAGTAGCACGTAATTATTACAGCTAATGGAGGTTTACAACCTCACCAACTGATTTTTTACCTTTCCCCAGTATTCAATGCTTGACGTCAGTATTGCTCACTTGGTCGCTCCACAATCATAACGTGAAATAAGACTGTTGAGCAACACATACGTTACTTGGTAGATGGACATCTCATCTACGCCACAAGTGACGCAAGTCGGCAAATGAAGACCAAGTTAATGTCAGACGCCATCTCGATAGAACTGATTAAACTCCCAAGACGAGTGAAGAGGTCGACGCAATCAACAACCTAATTCCCAATTACTAATCCAGACGATGATACAGACGAGTCCTGAAGAAACGTTTTGTATTTAAATGGAGAAGAACGCGTTCTGAACACACTAGCATTTTTGCTCAAGATCATGAAACTTTTATTTTGTTAGTATGATTAGACAGGTGTCACCAGTGGGTTTAAAGTCAAGTGAACCTCCTGGTAGACCAGCCCCTGAAGTTGTTATTTCTAAGACATCTATGACGAACATTATTTGAAGGTTGACAACCGGAGTGATACTTCTTCATAAGCTGACTCGACAAATAGTGTACAAGAGAACCTTCGCAAGGTTGACGTACATCATTGATACACCTTACAATAATACATGCTGACACAACCTGATGATTAACTGATTCATATGTTGCTTTAAGGTCAAGAAGTACAATTATGATTAGGCGTTGTTTGTTTACAAAACATTTGGTCAACATGTACACGTTCTGGTCTAAAACCAGTTTGCTTTACACGGGTTTTAGCTAAGTGTCAAGTGATTATAAGGGCTAGTATTCTAGACACCATAATAGTTTAATTGGTTTTGCTGCGGTTATTACAAAAGGACTTGTGTTCTTTTTTACAAACTGGGATTACCAGCAGTAGAGACAAGTCAGATGGGCTAACGTTCAACACTCTTGTAAGCTTGGACGCTATTGTTTGGGTTTAGTAATATCAAGAACTCATACATGAAGCAAAACTTAGTAAACGAATAACATTGAAAGGTCGGGAAATACAATAACTCCCTCGACTGTTCCCAAGTCGTGATAATACCTTGTCAGTCATAAGTAGCACCGTGTGAACACTGTGATAGCTTAAACGTCATCTTATATTTAGTCTGGTTACGAGTAGTTGGTTGTACGATATCATGTTGCAAACTTCACTACAACTAATTTAATGTGGCCACATCAATGTCTGCGAAAAGTTCCTTGTTTGATACCATCACCAAATCAGTCCAAGTTCCAGAAAAGTTTACGTACAGCAGTTGTGACTATCCATATCTTGATATGCCAAAAGTCTGTACATCATCACAGGGTCGCTATTAAGCACATTTGATTAAGCGGACAGAGTTAAATGTTAGTCTGGGATGGCCGGAATGGAAGCAGTTCTGTTAAGTCATCAATTACTGGGATATGAAATTTAGCAAACACAACAAGATAGGCATAAACTGAAGGGTAGGTGTAATATTTTAAACGTAGTCCTAGCTTCTCTCATCTGAGAAAAACTAACAGGCGATAAATACTTGGGCAAAACAAATTATCAAAGGTACACAAACAGGGATTTTGACACTCATGGTTACGTATAGCCACGTGACAGACATTCGACTACAGACGCCAAAATATAACACACCCGGAACTAACCTGAGATACAATGCTTTTGTCGTTTAACACTTGGAGGAGAAGAGTGAATCGAGTTGTTGGTGTAATGGAATCGTACGCCGTCTGAAATAACAATAAAAGCAAAAATATGATTTACCTCAGAACGTGTACGAGATTCGTTATCCGAGCTCTGAAGTTGTAACAACAACGTTTGAAATGCAGCGTAATCAGACATTTGAGACTCAACGATAAAACCCTAGCACTTTACGACTTCAACTAGCGTGCCCAACCTCGCGCAATATCCTGAAGTGCGCGGCAAAACCTAAATTTGCGCTGTAATTAACAAGGTGTATATCGAGATACCTACCAGATGAATTTTAACCCACTAAAGACAGGTTAAAGAGTCAGAAGGCTTTATTGTTACGCGAAATATTCTCACCTGGTATCACAGTTCACGCTGACTATACTTACGAAAAAGTATCATTTTGGAGAAATTTATAGCAGTGGGAAGAGCGCACGATTGGAAATCCTATGTTAGTGCTAGTGATGAGGTCTCTCAATTTAATTAACCTTCTTTCGAATGCATCCACTAAATGATTTTCAATCACATCGTGGTGAAATAGACGCGCTATTTAAAAAGGATAATGGTATTTTTCTGTTGAGTTGAGTTGATTTTACAGTTTTGATTGTTTATTACACATCAAGACTACTGTCTTCACTTTAAATGAATTTATTTCAGTTGAAGTAACACCAAGAGTATCGTTTTCCATAAAGTAATTTATCAGCTGTACTTTTTGAGTACATCGGATTTCTAGCTGTTGCACCCTTGAATCTAGCGGTTTACGGTTCCACGTCTTGTTCTGGTTATCATTTTTTGCCTCATTGTGGTTTCGTGTCTAATTTATTCGGAGACTTCTGATTGATGACTGATTAGTGCTAAAATATGAAGCCGTAAATGCTTGGGTTTCCGATACTGTGGAAAGTGGCATTCAGTGCGATGAGTGAAAATGATGGCGTCACAACGATTGCATTGATCCAACTCCTCTGGCTTTCAAACGATTTAGCAGAAATAGTTACGTGTGGTTGTATCAGCAATTCTGCTCGGCCGCAGCCCGCTTTTCTATTCGAAGCCATGGTGAACACTGCTAAAAGTAGTATTAGCAAGTGTAATAGAGATGGATCAAATGGTACTCGCTCTATTGATGAAAAAACGGGTGTTGAGCCATCTCAACTGGTCACAGAGTCCATTGATAAAGCTGGGTCTTTTTCTAGCAGGAAACACAACAATCTGACTACCCGAGCCATAGACAATCACCCAGGATCTCACAGAGTGTGTAACGCGACTGCAATTGCTACTCCAGCGAAAACTGGTAAAGGCGTGCAAACGAAGAACAAAAACGATTTACGTCATTGAAGTGTAGTGACCTACTTTTGTTAACAGAACGCGATTGGTTCAATGAAAACAATTATTATTATAACCAATTGTACCGGTGACTGTTTTACTGTGCTCGTTTGTTTAACTGTGCTAATGACAGCCACTATACTTACTTACTCTCCCGTTGACTTTGAACTTGTGCGAATTCGGTTGCGCTCAGTAATCACGCTTTTACTCCTTTGGCACGATCTCGGTATTCTTTCGATACCACGAGATCGCCAACAAATACATGTCGACTACAGCCATCATCTGTCTCCTGATATTGGCCTACGGGGATCTTATTGGTTAATTGGCACGTAGTCTTGTAGCGGTGTTCATAGTCAAGCTCAACTCGACACCACGCTACATTTAGTGAGCCAAATATTGGAACACGCCTCAACCTCGGTCAAATCTTCCAAAGAAGGCAATTCGGTGAGTCTATTGTTTTATCTATCCACGTCTGTCATATATTTTCATATTAATTTTTAATATATAATATATTTGACATGACGGATAACGATAAGAATAGTATTAATATAATAGACTCCGATGTACGCGTACCGAATCCTCGGCACTTTTTATTCGCGTGACGATAAATTCCACGCTTTATTCGAGAAATTCCCCAGAATAACTAAACCACTCGAGGAGATTTCATCGGTGACCAATCGTGTGGTACACCACATAGTCACCCGCGGACCACCAGTCACGGCAAGACCACGCCGACTGGCACCGGACAAATTAGCCTTCGCTAAACGTGAGTTTGACAATTTACTATCTGCTGGTATTATTCGTATTCGTTCGATACCACGAGATCGCCAACAAATACATCTCGACTACAGCCATCATCTGTCTCCTGATATTGGCCTACGGGGATCTTATTGGTTAATTGGCACGTAGTCTTGTAGCGGTGTTCATAGTCAAGCTCATCTCGACACCACGCTACAGAAGAAAAGGAAGTCTCACCAAACATTAGTTGGGAAATCAAAGGATGATCATCATGACATTCCAGTCTCTCATAGGAACAAGGAGAGAAGATGCCCAGAATCCATAACTCTTTTCTAGCATGATGTAGCAGTAAATAAGTCCCTAAAATAAATAACTCTGTAAGTCTTCGACACTGAATTCTGACCACTTTAGTTTTAATGAACTCACCTAGCTGAAGACTCTCAGTCATGCATCCGCATCAGAATACAAGTCGGAACGCCGTGTTCAAGTTCCCCTCAATAGCTAGCCAGTTTAGATCAGTTGATTCTCGATATATTGATAGCTTATCAAATATATTTTCGAACCCCCTCGCTTCTGTCTTTTGAATTCGCTTGGTGGGTACGATTCATAGTAAAAGATGTTACTGGTTAAAGCGCTGTTAAAACTCCAAAACCTGTGGCATCTTCAGTGACATTGAGTTGATAAAAGATCTACTTGACCACCTTTTGCCAAAAGATATCCATGAAGTCATTTAGCCGAACTTTTTGGACTGTGTGGACAAAAAGACTTGAAACAGGATCAAACCGGGCTAATAAATATGGTAAATAAGTCTCTAAATGAACGGAACTTGGCACTACAGAATGGACACAATTTAAGAGGGCTAGGAGTATTTGTTCGCAAAGACTTGCACAATGATGAAAAGCTGAAGGAGAACTAAAACTAAGGTTAAATGTTGGCGAAAAGAACCTTAGGATTGCATATTTCGACAAAGTCCCTCACAAACGATTGTTATCTCAGTTATGTAATATCGTGATTAAAGGCAACTCAATAATGTGGTTAGACTTCCTAGTTGGACGTCAGCAAACAGTACGGGTCGACCGGAAGTTGTATAGCTATGAAACTGTGGTTAGCAGAGTTCCTCAAGGTACAGTTTCGGAGCCAGTGTTGTTCCTCTTTAATTCGTCAACAAGGTGATCCACGTAATTTGCTGACCGCGAGGTGTGACATCGACGTTAGCTGGTTCGTCACACCATCCCCGTCTAATTCGAGTAGGCCTGTTGTATTATGGTCTACTATGATGTTCGTACTGCTCTAATGATAGACCTAACCCTAAAATTGTAGATTTATCATGATATAACTGCCTAATCTATAAGATCTTACGTGGAAGTCACATAATCGTCTACACCAACTGATTGCACTGTAACAATTACCTATACATGATGGAGAACAAGCTTAGGATAGAGATGAAACAATATATTTAATATGAATAAAATATACAAGATAACATTCAGCAGGGACCACATCTGCAAGGCCAAGCCATGCCGTCCGATCACCGGGGATTAGTTCAAGTCGTTCCCGCCTTTTTCTTCGTCGGGTTTTTCTCCGCATCAAGTGTTGAACATTTATTTCCTATATTGTCTCGTGCTAGGGCCCAACGCCACAACATACCTCAAATCATTCGGCATAGATTATTTATGTTGTTGATCTACATTATGCCCATATACAAAGGAATTTTAAATGAGTTAAGCAAAAGTTATGTCTCTCTTTAGTCAATAATCTTTTTTTAATACCAAGACATAGCTAACTCCGCCTGTAGCTCTTCCAGAGTTACTGCCTGCCACAAACCCGGGTAAAGGAGAAGGGTTGGGCATGAGGTTAGCGACCCCATCCCGTAGAAAACTAACTCGCTAAAAAACGCTGACCAGAAAAAATAATTCAAGCCATTTAAACTCTGCCCTGGAAGTTGGAAGGTCTTCATTTAGAAGAAATATGACGCCTCGTGGTGAAAGCTGAGTTCCTTCGGAAGCTACGAGGCCGATGCTCCTTCTAACAACCAGAAAATTTTGCCCAGGACACGGTTGGATGGAGAACGCTGGTGAGCGGCCTATGCTCCTTCACGATGAGTAACAGGCGTAAGTAAGTAAAGTAAGACATGAACAAAAAAGAACAAGCAATAGTGTGTCATGGATATTTAAGGCTTGAGAAACCTATTTCCATAACACATATATAATCGCATCCAAAAAAATTTATCAAACCAGAGGTCAGAAATGTAAGAGTTTGGAGATATATTTGTGAGATATTCGGTATGTTGAATAGTGTGTGGTCCAAGCTGACTAGTTGTTGATGAAGATGAGTCGCGTGGCACGCCCTAAGATGATCTGGTTCGAATGCGTGACTTAGCATAATCAGCACGTTCAGCGAAACTGACGAGGTCAGTATCGAATACTTTGGGAGGATTCATTTACCGTGTTCGGAGATTCACAACACACACGTGACACCTTGTTAATCGAAGGATACCAACCCATTGAAATCAAAGGTCAGAAATGAAGGAAATCGGAGATATATTTGGGAATCTATTGATATGTCGAGAAGCGTTTAGTCTAAGGTGGCTAGCAGGAATGCACGGGGTAGCCACTCGTGATCTGGTGAGGATGCGTGGTCGAGCGCATTCATCCAGGTTGTACTTAGTAAATAAAATGGAGTAAACATCATTGAAGACATACAGAACCATTTATTTTGGGGGTCTGTTTAACAAATTCGGATCTGTGTAGTAAGGACAGAAGTTATTGGTTTCCATAAGTGCCATTATGGTCCCTCCTAAAATTCTTTCCAATATTTTAACTACAACACTGGTGAGGCTTACAGGTCTGTAGTTTGATGGAAGTTATCTTGGTCCTGTTTTATGTGTGGAAGTGACGATTGCGTCCCTCCAGTCCATAGGTAACATACCTTTGTCAAGTGACATATTGAATATCACAGTCAGTGGAGTCGCGATATATTGTGCAATATGTCTCGAGATTTTGGGGTGTAGTCCATCTGGTTCTGTTGACTTTCTCATGTCTAAGGTGCCAAGAGCCTTAAGCACGTTGTTTTGATCAAAGTCCACGGTAAGTAGGTGGTTTGTTGACTCTGTATCTTGATCTAGTCCTATGTCTACAGGCGGTTCTCGAGTGACTACTGACCCAAAATAGTTAG